CATATTTAAGATATCCTGTCTGATTTACCCGAAACCAATAACTAAGCATTTTTAATCTGCATTTCACCGCATTTTCATCTATTTGAAACCACCACCACTACCACCACAGCGTTCGGCCTGCAAGATGTCGCCGCAGCCCTGTGGGGTCAGCGAGCACTTTCAGGTGCGGTTTGTGAGAGGAGCTCTTTTAACCCATTCCCTGACTGCTTGAGAGTAATTTAAGTAGTTTTATGGGTTTGTGGCTGAATTACACAGAAATATTTCCACAAAAGTGCCCAGTTTGGCTCCTGTTACCTCCTCAGGCCGCCTCCTGCCCTTCTCGGCTCCTGTTATCTCCTCAGGCCCCTCTCCCCGAGCTGTCAGCCTGCTCCCCGTGGGACCCCAAATCTCCACAGATTTCTACTTCAGGAAGGTCAGCTCCATCCCAGGAGGCCTGGCCGCAGCTGGAAGACCTTGAGGTGTCCTCCTGGCAAGCTCTGAGGCACCTGGGGCCAAGGCAGGGCCCCAGAGGTGCTGGCCCATCTCCTGGTACTGCAGGTGGCGGCCAGAGGCACGGGGACAGTCGGGGACACCGTGGTTGTTTTGGACAAGTCCCCATCAAGTCGAAGGGAAATTCCTACGGTTGTGTTTTATTTGCTTGAGGTAGGAAGTCTGCGAAAAGCCTGCACAAACAGCACAAAGGGTGCTTCCTCGCCTCCCAGCTACTCCAAGGCTCCCAGAAGAAAGCCGTGGAAGAGCTCCAGGTGGCATCCCCGTAGTGTTTCTCCTTCCTTGCTTTTTGGAACAAAGCAGGTGTTTCCTTAGGACGTACGACTGAGTCATACACTTCCTTATCTGTCTGGGCAGCAAGGTCAAAGCTCCTAAATACACCCCAGCAAGTGCAACGAGATGGCTCCGGCCCAGGGGGACACCTCGAGTTAAGATGGAAGAGGGAGGCTGCTGCCACCACAAGTGAAGCTGGGGGATTTTACCTGCTGGTTCTTCAACAAAAGCAGGTTTTTGGTTCCTCTTTTCTCCTTTAACACAACTGGGATGATGTTCAGCTTGTCTCACCCTTTATTCTGGCTGTAGTATCCACACCACAAGGCTCCCCCCCATCACGAGGATGCCAGCCCAGCTCAGCCATAACTCCCTGCCCTTTCCTTTTTGAACCCTTTGCATTTTGCTCCAGGGGTTTCACTTTGGGCAGCAGCTCCCAGGCCTGCTGTAAGGATCAAACAGAGCCCCTGGTGTGCTTGTAAGGGAAAAGAGTGTCCAAGGAGACGGGAAATAGGAAGTATAAGGACTGTGTCTGACTGCACTCCTTGCTAGAGGACAACTGGGCCAAAGGAAATAAGGCTAGTGATGGAGGAAACGACAAGCTTTAACCCCTGGGAAGCCTGGCCCCAAAGCAGAGCACCTCAGGCCGCAGAAAGCTTCACTGCCAGCCTGCCTGCCTGCCCCCTGCAGGGCTCGAGGGCTCTGTCAGAGCTGCTCCAGCCCCGCGGCCCCGTTGTGCGGCAGAAGGCAGCCACACGCCACCCCACAGCCATCCTGCCTGCGATTCGATGCTCCAGCTCCGAGCAAAGCCACCAAGCTCTCACACCATGCCCGCAGCTGACTGCCATCCCAGCACCAGAAGCTCCCTGTGAAGGCCGAATTTCAGCGTTATCTTTATCTATGAGTTATCTCCGCTGGAGCTCTCCAGCCTGCGACCTGCCTCCTGCAGCCGGGATGCCCGTGAGAGGTGCAGAGGCAGCCAAAGCGGGTGAAGGCGTCAGGTTAATGGTTAAAACAACAGCAAAACCTTTGAATGAAGTTTAAGGGGAGAAGAAAATCGTACAGGAGAGATGTCTGATTGCACAACGGCGATGGCAGCAGCTGCTGCTTGCACAGAGCATTTTACCAAATGGCTGCACAGCTCTTCATGAAGTAGCTGCTGAGGTTGCTCTGTAAAGTCACTGTCTCACCTTCAGGGGGCTCAGCCCCAAATGCCCCAAGCTCGCCACCCTTTTTGGGCCCCGATTTGGGGAAATGGAAGGGGTGGCGTGGGGACAGCCACCTGCACCCACCCCACGTGGCCGACGGCATCGGCTTCGTGCCACCCGCTCCTCGGTAGTTTCTACATGCTGATTAGCTCCCTAGTTTAATTTACTTTGTTTGCAAAACTCATAGCCATTTCTTATCATAAAGGGGAGCTGATACCACGTATTTATTACCATTTATCATTGAAATTTTTATAAGACTACTTATGAATTAATCAACAATAACTGCTCTCTCCAACGCTGCTGCATTAATCTCCATATCCACCGCATAAATCACACCGAGCACAAGTTAATATACATATTTTAAGAGAAATACGGCAATATTTCCACCCTATCAACTAAGTGTATTATCAGCCAGTTAGGCAATTTATAAATGCCTATACTTTATCCAGCATCATAAATCCTGGCCGGTCGGCGTGCCACGAGCTATGGGCAGAACACAACCTGACCTTTTATCGGATGCTCCTGCTGGTGGGGACACCTGGGTGTGCGTTGTTTCAGGGGAAACGGATGATCCATGATATAACAGAGAGGACCAGACTCAAACACGTATCTGTATGGTCACGCAGGCAAAGCTGTATTTCGTTCAGAGCCAAACCATTCTCGTATTCACATTATTGGACTCGTTGTAGATTAATTTCCTTATTCTGGGAAGACACAGCTATGGGCGATTAAAATATCGGGGCGTACCTTCCTGCGTTTTATTTTCTCATAAATTGTGCATCTCCTTAAAAGCACTTCAACTTTTTATTCGTGTATTCGACTTGGGGATAATTGACTGAAAAATACCAATACTGTTAAAATAGTTAAGGAGTATCGAGCTGTGGAAGTGGTTCCGTTCTGCACAACAGCAGCATTCAGGCAAAATTAAAGGAAGCGCGCGTTTGAGACTAATCTGTGACAAACACAAATCGCGTTTCATTCTTCGGAAGCAAGAAGCAATCCATAAAAAAAAACTTTTGCGGCAGTTTTACATCCCCGAATGCTGACGTTTCCAACATCAGCGTCATCTCTCCTGCTCAAAACAAGAGCAGACAGCGGGTACCGTCCTACAGAGTGTATCTTTTATAACACGGACGCGAAAATATTCAGGCAAACGTCCTGAGATGGTCACCTCGCTGCTGAGAAATATTGTACAGCATAAAATAAACGTGGGCGTTTGTCCCCGAGGATGCGCAAAGGAAAAAGCAGCGGTCTGGCACGCGGTGACGGAGCGAGCACAAAGCAAGCCAGGGCACTGCATCTTTAAGTGCTCACAAAGCTCGGGCTCGGGCGATCCTCAGTGCCACGGGCTGGCCTTGAGCCGGGGAGAGCTGTGAGGGCCAGAGCATGCGAGGCTGGCAGGGAAAGCAGGGAGAGCTAAAGTTTCGTCTCAATGAAATCCACCCCTGAGTTCAGGCGTAACGGTGCCCGTAAAAGCCTTCTTGGGGAGTGGGGGGGGATATGAGCTGTTGCTGTAAAGGGCTCCAATAAAAACCCAACCCAAAAAACACACCGTGAAAGACGTTTAAAATACGCACGTGGGAACTTGGTTTTAATTAAAACAAGCCAGTATCACGACTTCGCTGGAACCTTTCGCTCGAGAATTTCCATATTTCAGCAACTATCAATAGATTTACGCTTGTATTGTTCACTATGATAAAGCTTACAATAATCAATTATTAAATTGCAATTAAATTAGGATCTTCGTATGTGTTTTTCTCTTTTAAATTGCTTTTTTTTTTTTATTTATAAAGTGACCGGTCCTGAAACTACCGCTTAGCCCATTCACTGCACTGACTGAGGCTTTCAAAGTATGCTGGTTTGCAAACTGCAAATTTAGGTGGATTTACGGCAAAAACAGAAAACCCATCTGAGATTAATATGTCAATTTGTTATATATGCTGCAGGATTGATTGCCACTCGGCTCCTCCTAATAACCAGATTTACAGATAAAGCAACCACAGTTATCAAGTATGAAAAGGACGCTCTCCCCTCATTAGTGCTTTCTTCTCTGTTTGCAGATACTGATAGGAAAATACGCATTATGCATTTTTAAAGCCATGGGGGAGAGGAAAAATAGACTAAAAATACTAGAATGAAATGTAATGGTAACTAGAATGAAATTCAAAGCACTACTCGATGTTTCATTTACTGCAATGTCCTATCGCTTCTTTTAAAATCACTATTTTTTATATATAGTAATGGTTTTTAAAGTAAACGTTCTAAAAAGATGCGGTTGACCGTAGTACGGCTTTTTCAGCAAAAAAACAAACAAACCACAAAGGTTTTACCCCGTCAAGGAAAACTGCAAAGTGGTCGGCCAGTTGTGTGGGTCGGGAGACAAAGGGCTTCACCCAGCCACACAGAAACACCCAGTCCCGGCCGCGCGGTGCCAGGGTTTCGAGACAAACGCTGCAAAATCAGCGCAGTTTATATGGACGGCGTCCACGGTCCTCCTCACAAAGAGGTAGCAGCGAGATGCTTGCAGATACCTGGGCAAGCCCTGGGTAATTAGCAGCTCTCTCATTATGCCCTGAGCATCCCCCAGCGCCCCGGCAGCAGCTGGCTCCCGCTGGCGGCCACCTGGTGCCAGCCCAGCAGCGCCCGCTGCAGGTACGGCCGCCCGCTGCCCTGGCGCGGGAGGGAAACCTCGGGGTGGGCTGAGAGCAGGGTCAGCTCTTGGGGACGCTCCCCGTGCACCTCGCTCCACGAACCCATAAATCAGCCTCGCAGCGACAGCGCCGCCGGCCGGCACGTGAAGCTCGCGCCCGGCCCACCAGGCGCGCGGCGGCTCGGCGCTTCTGCCTCTCAGAGTTCAACGTGACCCACGCACGCTCGTCCCCAAGGTGTCACTGAGGCCGGACGAGGCCATACAACGAGGATCCGTGCCTCTCCTCACCTTGCCCACAACCTGTGCCACGCGCTACGAGTGCCCGTGCCTGCCTTCCCCCCAGCAAAGTGACGGCGCGGCGGGCGGGCGCGCGCGGTACTTACTGAGGACGGCAAACCTGGAGGAACTTTCCGAACTTTCTTTGTTTGTACTTCTGCAAAAAAAAAAATAAAAATAAATAAAAAGATAAAACGGTGTCTTCATCAAGACTTTTTTTTTTTTTCTTTTTTTCTTTTGCCAGCGAGGTTTTGTAAAGAGCGAGCCAGCTAATCACCCTGCCCGCCTCTCCCTCCCCACTCCCAGCGGCGTGGGCATGGCGGAGGGGTGCCAGCCTCCTGCCCACCCCTCATATTTCCACCTCCAGCCCCGGGGCCTTTGTTTTCGCCTGGCGCGGGTCTGCTTTGAGCAAGCGACTTTCGAAGGCTCCTCGCGTGCCCCACAAAGAGGAGCGGCGGCGGCTGCGCTGCGCTCACCTCCCCGCGCCCTCGCGCGGGGCCCGAAGCGCTCCCGGTGCGTGGAAACGGGGCAAAAGCGCCGAGCACGAAGTCACTCACCCATGGAGGTGCTGTGCAGAGGCCTCCGGCGGGGGTTATTGCTGGAGTACTGGTAGTACTGGGAGCCCGGCTTGCTGGGGGAGAGCGCCCCGGGGTTGCCGATGTCCATCTCCCCTCCCAGGAGACTTTGCTAAAAGACGAAAAAACACACACGTGTGCGCGCGTGCATGTGCGAGCTGCCTTCCCCCCATCATTAGCTATTTCTCACCCCTAAAAATAACACAGCAAAGCAGCCTTCCTAAGCACCCGGAACCCTGAAAGCAGGACCTGCCAACATTTTAAAGGCGACAGCGCCAAAATTTCCAGCTTCGCATCTTTCCTTTCCCCGGGAAAAGCGCAAAGGAATGAATTTCAAATCCGATTCTTTACATTTAAAGGAGACTTAGTGCCGACTTAGTCGAGCGCAATCAGTGTTTGCAAAACTTTGGGAGCTCGGTGCAGCGACGTGTTTGGGAGCCATTTAGTCTCCTCGCTGCACGCGAGACAGATTTAGCCATCATAAAACTGAAGGGAAGGGAAAAAAAAAAAAAAAAATCCTGCTGTTGACAGTGCGGTTGGTTCGGAGCGCATGAAGCAGCCTCATTGTCCCCACGGAAGGCGAAAGTCCTAAACGGATCGCGGTGTGCAAGGCGAAAACCTACACGGCAGGCTGTGCATCGAGCGGGAGCGGTGCGTTAATCAGATTTTTTTGCAATGCCATCAGAAAAAAAAACAAAAAAAAAAACAAACCAACAAAAAGCACCTCCGAAAATCCCAAACAATTAAGGCTATTGTACGGCAGCCGCACTAGCAGCAGCAGCAAAGGACTTGCACTAGATCCATTTTCTGCCTCTCCCATTAACTAACGAGAAGCATCCCGGCAAGCACGACATTTCCCCGGCTACGAACGGAGCCCGGCTGCCCTGCGAGAGCGGCAAACGTTATCTGACCGCCGCCGCCAGAGAAATTACACATCTCCAAGAGGCTCCGGCAGAAGAACAATTTCCTGAGTAATGTTCTATTTGCTATAAACTCCACGGAAACTTACCCATAATATATAAATCCCCTGATTATACTCTGCATTGAGCACATTGTTCTTTTAATTATTCTGATACGCAATAAAACAGGTGTAGATCCCACCATTTATATTAAGAACAAATTTACCATTTAATAAAGAAATTTTAAAATTAAGCACCAAAAATCTAACTTTATCGTTACTTGTAATCAACTTTTACTGACTGAACTAATTACTGTACTTGATAAAGTACAGAATGTGTTTTCCCTAATCTAAATTCTAATCACCATGTCACTCACAACAGACTTAGTAATGCTTCACTAACACACTATTCACATGCAAAATACTCTAAATAGGCCAATTATGACTCTGCCCCTGTTCCCTGGTTAACCCGCTGAGAACTGAAAAATTTCACAAGGCAGTCACCAACTAAAACAAAGGCTCCTTGTTTTAAATTAAGACAGTCTTTTTGATTCCTAAATAGCTCAACAAAGTGGCATGTCTTCTGCTGAAAGCAGTTGGTCAAATATGAGCCATGAGCTGGAAAATCAGAAATTAAAACATCCTTCTGCCTTTCCTACCCGTCTAAAAACATTCGGAGAGAACTTTTGCTGCACGAAAACTATATTACTCTTTTTTTTTTCTTTTTTTCTTTTTTTTTTGAGCAGCTACACGAAAATCGCCGCCGACGTATGGGCAAGCGACGCCCGACGGACGCGGCCCCGACCCCCTTCTTGGCGTGCAGTCCAGCGTTTGGCTTCGCAGACCCCTCAAAGACCTCAAAAAAATGCAGGCACGCCAGGGAGAAGCGTACTTTGGGCTAATATCTTGACGCTCAGCTCCTGCCTAATATACACCTGCAATGCCTCCGCTCCTCGGAATAAACAGCACCTGCACCGGCACAAAAATGGTTGCGAGCCTATTGCATAATGGCAAAGAAATATATGCAAAAACTCTTTGGGGGAAAAAAAAATAAATATATATATATATATAAAAAAAAAAGGTTATCAATTCATTGTGAATATCCTCTGCAAATACACGGGATTTTATTGAATGTCTCGGAGCATTTCAGAATGAAACAGTGCTAACCACAAAAATCCGATTCAGTCATATATTTTTATCACGTATACGTTTTAACATAAAGACAGACCTGCTAAATCTGTGCATGGTTTATCCATATGTCGGGGAGTCTGAAAGACTTACAGCCATCAGCTGTATAAATTCCTATACCCAGCCTACTAGATTTAATTTGATTTAAAAAAAAAAAAGTCTCTAAGACAGCGTTTGCAAACTATTGGAGCTTAAACAAGATTCACTCCGGGAGCAGAAAACACACACATACCCTATGTTGTTTTTGTTTTTTCATCCAAACATTTCTCTCTAGAAAAAAAGATGCAGAGGTTTCTACGGGGAAAAAAACAAACAAACAAACAAAAAATAAAAGATCCCAAATTTGCGTTATTACACGAGGAATAAACAGATGCCCCGGTCCGACGGGCTGCCCGCCTTTTGTTTGCCACCCGATCGAATGCTTCTCGTTGCCACTAGTTGCACTTCACAATGACTATTCCTTCCTCTTGACCTAGCAGGTAGGTGCTGAAATGAGGACGATGGATGGGCTGGACGGGCTCAAGGACCTGCGGCTGGAGCTGGCACCCATGGGGGTGCCCTCGGGGCTCCCCACGGCCAGGCTGGGCGCACGCAAGCGCCCGTGCGGAGCCCGCTCCCGGCTCACGCTACGTGTCCGCCTCCCAACAATTTCGGCACAGGAGCTCGGCTACAAGAAGCTCTCGCTGCCACAAAGACTGGGTTTTCTCAAACACATCTCCCAAATTTCCCATCCTGAGTGTCGCTGATTTCTTCATTTGGTCCCAAAAAGAACCCGAACCCCCAAATAGCCCCAACCACCCAAGCGCCCTCCTTTGTCTGGCACAGGCTGCAAAAAGAGGTGGGTTTGTGCGCTTAAGGGGACCTTGCGAGCGCTCCAGGGAGGAAAACTCGGCTAAAAAACATATCTGTACTTATTCCGAGATGCTCCTAGAAGGAACAATGGGCATTTATTACTGCTCAGCCTCCGTGTCACACTGCTAATGGCCTGCAACAAAGAGAAAGATGAAACGTTTGCAAGCCACGGTGCCATAGATCACGTAGCTTTTGGAGCTTGCGTTTGCTCCCAGTTGGGTCTCAGGCGCGGCGTGAATGATTGGGCATCAAAGTTTGTATTTACCACTAAGAAAAGATGAGCTTAACCCCAAAATGTTACGTCGCTCAAACTCCCTTGAAGACTTTTTACAGAGGGGCTCGCCACGTGGATGTGCTCGACGTAGGGGAAGCGGGGTGTCTTTGGGTGCAACCGGCGAGCCACCAAACGCTCCGAACCCTCGAGCTGTACAAATCCTGCCGGCGGATGCTCGCGGACCTGGACAGTTGTCAGCCTGTTTGTTTTATCATAAACAAAGCGAATAACGCGCGGGGTTTGCCAGTCGGATGGTTGGTTGAAGCAAAACCCAACCCCAGAAGAAAAGAAACGCAACAGAGCAAGATGGCGCGGAGGCACGCGGCTGTGTTTTTCATCAAGTGCAATGTTTTTGCCTTTGCTCCACGCAATCCTGTCTTCTTTCTGGTAATCTGTAAAAGAAGTCACTAACGAGTGAGTCCTGCCTCCCAAATTTGAATAACTAGACAAAGACTGAAAGCTGGATGGGGAGGAAATGCGCGCAAAGGAAGATCCATATGGATGCGATATTACCCCTCCTGGAGAAACACAAACCTTGCTCCATTACCAACCTGGAGTTTTGCTCCTCCAACCAAAATCACACGAATGCCAACAAGCGTTTTGCTTAAATTCCTCCTTCAGACCCGTGTAGGTAGGAAACAGATTTCTAAAAATTGTTTTCTATCCCCTTTATTGTAGAAGCAGGTGAGGGTAGGGTACGGCAAAGCGCTGCCGTTCGCTAACAGCACATCAGTTCAGCTTAAAGGTAAAGATCCTTGAAGCCCGTAATCCCAAATCCTCTGATAAAATGATAAAGCTGAGCAGGAAAAAATATTTCAGAAAGGGCCTTTTTTATTATTTTTTTTTGCTGACAACCTGGATAGATTTTTGTATTTATTTTTTTTTTGCCGTCGCCACGCCGCATCGTGATCCGGTATCAAACGCGCCATCGCGGGGACGTCGCAGGGAAGAGAAAAACGGGCTTAGAGGAGGAGAGATTAAGCTCCTTTTCTGAACGGCTGCCAAGCGATTGTGCGCGGCGCTCAGGGCCGAGCGTCCCCGCGCACAGCTGCAGCCCCGCTCGCCGCTCCCCAGCCCGGCGGAGGGATGGGGGCTGCGGGACAGATGGTCCCCGCTCCGCACGGGAAAACGCATCGATCGAAAAGCAAACCCCTTTTGCAATAAACTTCCCATGGACGAGAAGAATTCGGGCACTTCAGCCAAGAAGAAGAGCCCTGCCACTTTCCTGCTGTTCCAGCACCCCTCGCATCACAAGGCCGTGCACCCTTGAAGACCAAAACCTTTTTGCTTTCCCCGTTCCCACCACCTCTGCGCACCCTACAGCCTCTATATATCAGGGGGCCCGCACGTTATGGGGTTTCTCTGCCACCAAATTACGTTTTCCTCCAGAAAAAAAGAGCTCAAGCCGAGATGGATGCAGTCACCCTCAGTGCTGGAGCCCCACAGCACGATTTGGGGTGCTCCCACCAAACACCAGCCCAAGGGAACGTGGCCAAGGCCATTCCCCCGCCGGCTACCCGCGCCTCCACCACCTCCCTTGGCCTTCTCCACACCCAGTGCACCCCAAACAACCTAAATTTGATGAAATCACATTAATTCATGCCGAAACAGAGGAACAGGAGGTCTTTTTTTTTTCTTCTTCTTTTTTTTTTTCAACACGCCCAATTTCGAACTGCAACTGCTCTGTTTTCTTTTTCCTCTCGCAAGCTCGCAGGGTGCCGCAGTGCATCTCCTCCTCAGCCAGGTCGCAGCTCCTTCTCCGTGCCCTCCCCTCGCTTTATGAATTTTCACTTAAGTCAAGTTAACTAAGTCATGCCGCATAGACATCTGAATCATTTCTTGGTTACTTCCTTCTGTGATTTCTATCCTCTGCTTTTAATCAAATTATGAAACTAAATTT